TGGTGGTCCTGACACCAAGACAGGTGCTCAGATATTTCCTTCATCATGGATCAACTTGTTTCCTGTTCATTATCTCATAGACAAATACGTGTTATATTTACAATCACTTAACATCTTTCTGCTTCTACAAGTACTTTCCTGGATAAAAGAACTGAAATAGAAGTAAAGTGGAACATACTGACCTGCCATATAGTAAAGACAAGCCTTTATGTGCCACCAGCAGATCATGCAGAGCCGAACACTTGCCTAATTCTATGGTTTGGCAAGTAGGGAAGTGTATTTAAAGAATTGTTCATTAGTATTATTACACTTATAGCCAGTACCATTACTGCTATATTCTCATTATAGGGTAGGTATTCATGTGGGAGCCTTAAACAAATGTGTCCAGGCCCACGTTAAGCCGTAACAGCCAGGAACTAAGCAAAATTACCTGTTTGTGTATATTTTTGACTGATTGCTTCATCTCTCCCAGTCAACTACTGGTAACTTATTAAGATCTTCTGACAAAAGCACAAAAAGATTGAAACTGCTTTTTTTGGATAAAGATCTCTCTGAAAGGTAGTCTTCAGTTAAGATGTCTCTCCTGGAAAATGAATTATTGGGAGTCAGGACTGCAGCTTATGCAGGAATATTACAATTAACAAAATATAGTTCTATGTTTGACTGAACTTGGTCATAGTTGTTAAGGTTCAGTAGCACCTGTTTTGTATTACTTTCCCAGGAGGGAAGTTTAAATAGGAAAGCATTTACAACATGGATGTTTTCAAGAAGTGGTCTTTCCCTGATACGTAAGATACTTCTAGCAATAAGTTGTAATAGAATCACAATCCTGCTCTTCACTTTGTGGCTGGATTGGTTTGCTTGTATCTTGCAGATGCACCCTTCGCTGGTAGAAAATTAAGAATTGTTTTCACTTCAACCACAAAATCTTTGTGGTTTTTGAAAAACTGATCTTCTGAGTTGATGGAATTTAAGGGTGTTTAGACCCTGAATTATCTGGGTTTTCTTTGATCACCCAGTGAAACAAGTGTATATAACAGCTATAATAAGACATTACTTAAAGTTGCAATAGATGAATCACTGAAGTTGTTTTTGCCTTTCACTATTATCTGTATGAAGTTTTTAAAAAATGGCTTCCCTTTACAGCCTGAAGTACTTGAACAACTGAGTGGGTTAAAGGAATTTTGGATGGATGGTAATAGACTGACACTTATTCCAGGGGTAAGTCTTTTTACTATGCTAAACATGTAATATTTTCATTTACAGTGCTATGTGCTTTGTCACCTATCATATATGTTCAAGTTGCAATGTAATTTTAATTTTACTTAAAGCCAAAAGGCTAAACGCTACTCAATGTTTAATGAGTCTACTTAGAAATTGTCACTGATCATGAGAGTTGGGTACATAGCTTTTCTTTCATTGAAAGTTATATACCTCTCATCTAAAAATTATGTTCCAATCCATGAAAGGGGTAAAAATCCTAGATCAATTCCTGGATCAACTTTAGGGTTGACTAGTTCTTCCAAAAAGGGATAATTATGTGTTAGATAGCAGACAGGGATTAACGGGATAAATACGATGTATGAATTTTTACTGGTCACAGCTGTAAAGCATGCAATGCCTAGGCAGGTGCCATATGTACAGGGAGCATGCCCAGGTCCTGAGAAAATGTTCTGTAGACTTCATCTGAGTTCCCGACATCTCTCAGAATTACGTGGGGTCCAAGCTGACCTGTATTGCAGTACTTGTGAACCTCTGCTTATGTTCTAGTAAGCTAGTAAATGAGTATTTGGAAAGCAGCTGGTCTGTTTTCTGGCTTAAATCACTAGCAGTCTTCCAATGTGAGGCTTTCTTGCCTATCGGTACTCTTCTCTGCTGTCTTTCCTCACTTCAGCTCGTTCTTCCTTGAAGGAGTGAATGTATTAGACATTTCTACTTCACAGTATAAGTAAAACTGTATTTGTGTAAGTGACTGCATCTTCCCTGTGAAGATTTTAGTAGAGTACACAAATCCTCAAGCTTACTCTTGTTTCATACAGAAAGGTAATACAAGCTCATATTTATAGAATCATAGAATCATAGGATGGTTTGGGTTGGAAAGGGCCTTATAGATCATCGAGTTCCAACCCCCCTGCCATGGTCAGGGACCCCCTCCACTAGACCAGGCTGCTCAAAGCATCATACAAGCTGGCCTTGAACGCCTCCAGGGATGGGGCATCCACAACTTCCCTGGGCAACCTGTGCCAGTGCCTCAGCACCCTCACAGTGAAAAATTTCTTCCTAATATCTAGTCTAAATCTGCCCTCTTTCAGCTTATACCCATTACCCCTTGTCCTCTCACTACACTCCCTGATAAAGAGTGCCTCCCCATCTCTCCTGTAGCCCTCTTCAGGTACTGGAAGGCTGCTATTAAGTCTCCTCAGAGCCTTCTTTTCTCCAGGCTGAACAACCCCAACTCTCTCAGCCTGTCCTCACAGGGGAGGTGCTCCAGCCCTCTGACGATCTGTATGGCTCTCCTCTGGACTCACACCAACAGGTCCATTTCCTTCTCATGTTGAGGGCCCCACATCTGAACACAGTACTCCAGGTGGGGTCTCACGAGAGCAGAGTAGAGGGGGAGAATCACCTCCTTCGACCTGCTGCTAATGCTTCTTTTGATGCAGCCCAGGACACGGTTGGCTTTCTGGGCTGCAAGCGCACACTGCTGGCTCATGTTCAGCTTCTCATCCACCAGTACCCCCAAGTCCTTCTCCTCAGAGCTGCTCTCTATCTGTTCTCCACCCAGCCTGTATTTGTGCTTGGAATTTTGGCTTGTTTCTTCAGTTTAGTACAATTAGGGATTCATTGTTGTTGTTTCTAAGGTTAAATAGGATGCAGTTTTACACAAAAGGCAAAAAGAAGCATTAAAAGACTTTACAGGAACCTAAAGATGTCCTTACATTATATACTGCTGTCTGAAGTCTCTTCTAAAGCTTCAGGTACTTGATGGACAGTAACTGATCAAACCATTGAATTTGCAGCAGGCTTACTTTAGAGACCTGCAAAATTACTGTGGTATGTCTGCGTATGTGGAAAAAACATCAACCGTGTGTAACTGCAGAAAAAATTTCATTGTGAAGTTCGAATACTTGGCATAAAATTGTTTTTCAGCACAGTAAATGGGTTTTCTCTTTTCCTCTGGTATTACACTTGAGAGACCAGTTTGTTGTTGTATCTGCTGGATTTTTTGTTTTGAACTTGTACTTTCTGGAATGCATTATTTTGCTTGTAGTTCATAGGCACTTTAAAACAACTAACCTACTTGGATGTTTCCAAAAACAACATTGAAGTAGTTGAAGAAGGTGTTTCAGGTTGTGAAAGCCTGCAAGACCTACTGTTATCCAGCAATTCACTTCAGCAACTGCCGGAGTCTATTGGTTTGTATTTTCAGTTAATTCATGCCCTTAAAAGCTTACAGTTTAGACATAAAATACTTGAAAATAGACAAATAGCATTTTAGATCTAAGTTTCAATTGATTAAAAGAGCCAGTTTGGATAAAGCTGTAATGTGTAGCTGAATTAATAAAATTTATATTTGTTTTGGAGCGTTTTTGACTTTTTACGGTAGTTCGTAAATGGATGAAAACTTTTTTTTTTTCTGCTTCCCCTCACCATGGCTGGCACATGGTAAGCTGGCAAACCTGTTCTGTAAGCTCATCTGCCTGTTTCCTGAGGCAGATACCACTTATAAGCATGGCAGGGAATACAGAAGATGTGTCTGCTTACCCATAGTTTTTTTTCCCCTTAATTTAAAATTAAAACTAAGCTTAATGAACTCAAATGTCCTTTTTGATTTACTTGTTTGTTTTATTACAGGTTCCCTGAAGAAGGTAACAACACTTAAAATTGATGAAAACCAGTTAATTTATTTGCCAGACTCCATAGGAGGGTAGGTAGTTCATCTGAATATGAGGTTGAATTCCTTTTCTGCACATGTTTCTATATCAATGGTTCCTCTTTTGGAAATTTTTACAGCTACGTGATTTAATTTCTTCTACATGTTAACGTCCTAATAAAATTTACAAAAAGTGCTTTCATATCTTCTAGTTTGCAGCACGTATGTTCTTTATGTATTATTTAATAGCAGAAGACCTATGTTTCTCACTTATTAATGCAGTCACCAATCTATAAAAGAAAAATTGAATGTGAAAGAAAACAATCTGTTTAAAGAGGCAGTCAGCTGCCTGAAACTGTTTTTTGGCAGTAATATGGCTGTGGTAAATACTACAAATAATTGAACCACTATCAAAAAGCTTATAAAAAGTGAATCTGGACATGCAAGTTTATCTTTTTATCTTATAAGGAGACTTTTCACCTGTTCATCAGCAGGTTTTTAATGTATAATTTAGTGTTCAACATTTTAATTTAAAACACATGAATGACAGCAAAAATAATTGGTTCAGAATTAAGTGCTATACAAATGAAGGATGTTGGTTCCAATTTCCTTTATCCTGTTATAATTAATGTAAGTTACCTTTTGTTGTCAGAATTTACAAAATACTTCCTTACTGCCAAATTCTTAGGTTCAGTGTCTGTAACTGTTGAAATTATTTTCTTGTTTAGAAGCTGCACTCAACTCCTGTTTGGCTATGGTCTGCTCCATTCTGAATGTTTTCACTGAATACTTTCTTACAAGGACAGTGTAGTGGAGACTTAAAAACAGACCAAAACAAACCCCAAAAAAACCCAAGCAAAAACCCTGCAATCAACTAACAAACAAGAACCCCAAAAAATACATTTTAGGCAATTAATAAAGGATTTTTCTTGGATTTTAATTCCCTTGTGTTTCAGAGTTTTATTTTGAATTAACCTGAGATTTGTAGTTAATAGTGATATTCAATTAATATTCTATGAATTAACCTGTATAGAGGAATAATTTTTTATTATTTTTGCAGGTTAATATCAGTAGAAGAACTGGACTGCAGTTTCAATGAGATTGAAACATTGCCTTCCTCTATTGGGCAGCTCTGTAATATAAGGACATTTGCTGCAGATCATAACTTTTTAACACAGCTGCCATCAGAGGTATGTATTTAATTACAAAACTGTAAAATGAATTTTAAAATGTATTTCAAACTGTATAGTCTGTAAAACTTTTGGATAGCAAGTTAATAATTCTTGAGTAGATTTTCTTTGTGTATGTTTTTAAAGGAGGATGTGTACAAATATACAGGTTTTCAAATAATGAAATTCTGATTTTTTTTTAAGCAAGTAAAAATTTGTTGCTAGTGTATTGAAACTAAAAAACATTTTAATATATAATAATAAATCTAAGTATATTTTACAGGCAAAAAGCTGTAGTATTAATTGTTTTAAAACGGTAAAAATTTACGTATTTAGCATTGTGAAGATGAATTAATTATTTTGGGTTTTTTTTCAGATTGGGAACTGGAAGCATGTAACAGTCTTATTTCTGCATTCTAATAAGCTTGAATTTCTCCCTGAAGAAATGGGTGATATGCAGAAATTAAAAGTCATCAATCTGAGTGACAATAGGTTTGTGAATGCATTTATTCAAGTAAAAGTTGTATAAAATGCAATCATACTATAGATATATTGTTATGAATATTTTATACTGTCTATCCTTATCTCACACACAGCTAGCTGACTGAGATGCGTGTATTTAATGTACTGTTGTTGTGTTCTGAATCTTGCAGCTCCATTGTATTAAGCTGTCTTTATTTTAATTACTTGGCACATGGCACATACATTGAAGCACAGCTTCAATACATTCATGATTGTTAGCATGTATTTTTCTGGGGAATTAGTTTGCTTAGTTTAATAAAACTTTTGATTCTTCATTAAAAGTTAATAGCTTCCTGTATTGCATACAGAGGACACGAGACAGTACCACAGAACAGTGTAAAACACTTGAATGTACTGGGGAAGGTAAAAAAGAGAGTTGTGTTTTATTAGAGCGGGTCATTAAAAACTGGAAAAACATTTCTCTCTTAGGAATTGTCAATTTGTAGAATTGAAGTATGTTGGGAGACATAGGTCTAACTGAGCTCTCCCTCCTGTTCTGCCAGTCCAGCATCTCTGTACTCCATCTGTAGCTTGATTTATCCGTTAATACCAGAGGTTCCCGTATCCTGGGCAGCCCCTTTCCCACGTATTTATCATGGCAAAAACCAGCAGTTTTCAGGTGTAGCACTTTTTTCTTAATTGGCATGCCTGTATATTGAAAGAAAATGCTGAGGATTCAGATTAATTAATTCACATCAACTCTCTTTAAAAGTGTATGCAAGTCCTTGTACTTAAATTCAAGTTACATTTTCACTTCTTTAAAGCTGCTTGCTAAGCTGGGCAGAAGTCCATTTTTGTTTGCCTTTTTTTAAAATTCCAGGTATAACTTTGCATCTCAATTAAATGGCATTGCCTTTCAGCTGTCAACTTAACTATATCTGTAAATGCCCTTTTTAAACATTTTTACCAGCTAACGCAGGATTGTTTCTTAACAGTGTTAACGGTGTTGATAAGTGTACTTACATAAATTCTTGTTGTAATTTACAGACTGAAGAATTTGCCATTTACCTTTACAAAACTGCAACAGCTCACTGCTATGTGGCTATCAGACAATCAGGTGAACTTTTTAAAAATTAAAAATAGATGATTGACTTTAGTCCTAATAGAATTGACAAGTACAGAGCCATCTGTTAAATAAGGAGACCTTGTACTGTATATATACATCAATATTTCCTTGACATTACTATGTTGGTTCTCCTGAAATGAACAACCCTGATCCTTCCTGTCTTTGGAGACTTTCATACTTTTAGCAAAGTTCTGTACTGTTAGGAAATGCAATTTAGCAGTTGTTGGGGTTTTTGGTTTTGTTTTTCTTAATTCAGGCTTGTTTACACAGGTGAGTTAGTGCTTGATAAGCTAGTACTTAAGTGCATAGCATGCTGTTTTTCCACAGCTGTACCACTGGGGAAACTTAGCATCAGGTTTTTTTGAGCTAGGTTTCTAGCCAGTCCTTTGAGCTCTGTGACTGTCCAAGTTTCAAGCTATAAAGCAGTAACTCATGTGCTTGTGGCTGGTATTTTTGCTATGTATTGAAGCCCTCTGTACTATGCTGCTTTCCTGAAGGGCATTAAGGTGTACAGAGCTGCCAGAAATCTACTAGCCTCCAATGTAGTATAATGAAAGCATTTTTACTAATACAGTAGTTTCAAGAAATCCCTGCCCTTTTGTGTAAGGGGTGGGATATGTTCAATCTGGTGTCAATATGAAAAACCAAGTACAAAATTTTTTCTCTTTGTATGATTATCTGCAGCTTAATTAGCCAGATTTATCTGTGTATTCCAGATCAGCCTGCTCTGGGGTAGTAGTAAGTCCTAGCAAGGAACTGGGCTATTTTTTTGAATATCCAGTGTTTGCTTTTCTCTTAAAGCTGTTTCTGAGCTTCAGTTCTCAGTCCAAGCCAATTGTCAATCAAAGACAGACATGTTAATAACTTCATCTTGTGAAAGTTATTCAGAGGATAAATGGTTTAAAAAAATGGTTTAGTCTTCAAAGTTAAGAGGCAGGCATGCTCTGTGATATGTAGATCATATTTGCTTTTTTGTATATAGTCTCAACATATCCTTCTTTCATTTACTTGCTAGTCTAAACCACTTATCCCTCTTCAAAAAGAAGTTGACCCTGACACACAGAAAACAGTGCTTACAAATTACATGTTCCCCCAGCAACCAAGGACCGAGGATGGTAAGAATATCTGAAATACCCTGTCAGAATGCCCACTTTTGAAAATAATAATGGAAAGACTGTCCAGCTAATAGGATTTTCACTAGATAATACCTAAATACAAGTTTGAAGTAAACTTGTAAGTGATGAAGAATCTACATCTGAAGAATGCGAACAGTAACCTAATGTGATCTACTTGTAGGTAAATTCTAGGTGAAACTGTGTCAGTGAGCAAAGTGAGGAGTGGACTGGCAGGATCACATTCTGCCTTGGTTGCCACTTCGTAGTGTGACACTCTGTTGCATTCTGGCAGAGCTTAATGGTTCGGGGTTAAATTCTCCTTAGCAAGTGTCTGCTTCAGACTAACTATTTTAACAGAATGTTAGACAAAATGTTTCCTACATTACTGAGTACATATTTTTGGAAAAGCACATAGCATTCTGTGTTTTATTTTAAAACAAAAAAAAAATCAGTCCAGAAAAAAAAAGCATTTTGCTCACATTTAGTGTGAACTATTTTATAAAAAGTTAGGCCCAAAATATTAAAACCTTGCCAGAAAGTTATTTCTGCACACTTGTGAAATAGTTAAGAAAATATGTAATGTTGCATGAGTAACCCCATCAGGAGTTACGGAAAGAGAGTTAAATCTCTTTACTTCTCTACTTTCTTTCTCCTGCAGGCAAATATGCTGCTTTAGCAGAAGTGGGGGGGGGGGGGAGGGGGGGGCACATATCAGTGGAAATAATTGAAAACTGACAAGTGTCAACGTTTTGTGTTCCGTGGCAGAAGTGTCTGGTATACTGAGTCATCAAAAATATCAGCAAAACCAGTAAATTGTGCATCATTTTAGTGCCTTGTAATGCAAATAATGCATCTGCAATACCTCTGATAGAATGTGAGAATTAAAAAATAATTTGGAGATTCACTAGAGGTCAAGGTTGCTCCTGAAAGCATTCTCTCCATTTGAACTTTTTTTACCCAAGTGCCAGGGCGTCTTTCCGTGTAAAAGGGCTGCTTGTTTGGCTCAAGTTGACAGAATACCTGCCTCTGAGGTGGTTGTTCCAAATGGAAGGATTAAAGTTCAATAGAGAGTGTTTTTAAAAATTCCATTTTAAAACATTCTTTATTAAGTTGTTTTTTTGGTCAGGAACAGTTTTGGTGATAGTGAAGTCTATTAGAATATTTTCAGGTGTGTTAAAATTGTAAATTTACCCAATAAATGCAGAGTAACAAATACTCCAATGCATTTGTTGAGCCTTATAATTCAGTATTTTCCGATATAGAAGTAGTTAAAATGAACAATCTTGGCATTGCTAGCAAAGGATATACATTTGCTGGGGAGGTGGTGGTGGCAGATTTATTGGACTATATGGCATGCTAAAGAACCTGGCTGATGTAGCACAAGGCATGGAGACTTGCGAGAATAAGAGACAGTGGGTACCCGAAAGATTTTTTTCTCTCTTATAAAATTAAGCAAGAAATACTTTGTAAATCTCCTGTTATTTGTATAACTTCTGTAAAATGACGTGTTTACCTTAAGTTTTAGATGCTTAGGGTTTTTTTCAGAATTCATAATAATGCAAGTTTTTGTTTGTCACTAAGTCATTGTTATTCTTCATTTTTAAATTTTAATTAAATCAGATGAATGTTCTTTTACATGCTCAATGAGACCACCTCACTGAAGTCAGGCTATATAGATCTATATTAGTATAACTTACATTTATATGCACACATTTATAAACACATATTTTCATATTTTTACAGATATATTGATAAAACAACTTTACAGCAGAGTTCTGCTGAAAATTTTCAAGTGTGACTGTTAAGACTGCTGTACAGCTGTATGTATGGAGTATTTTACTTTACAGATAGGGACATTGCTATTATGAAAATGCAGCAAGGTTCATAAAGCAGTAACAGTGCAGCTAGTCTTCAATTAATGGTGTTGCTAGTCTCTTAAGAATGCCTATAAAAGCACACCAATCCCATCCAAGAGAAAGAAAAAGAGGATTTTTATTTTGCATAATGCATGTTATCCTTATGAGAGTATATTTTTTTTTCTTAGTTATGTTCATATCTGATAATGAAAGTTTCAATCCATCTCTGTGGGAGGAACAGCGGAAGCAGCGTGCTCAGGTGGCATTTGAGTGTGATGAAGACAAAGACGAGAGAGAGGCACCACCTCGGGTTAGTATTTATTTTTGAATACTTGGTGCTTCCTTCTGTCTTATCCTCATCCCTGAAACCCATCCTTCGGCTGTGGATTTCACTCTGCTGAAGAAATCAAGTCTTTGGTTATCAGTTAAGAGTATCTGACAGGATAAAATACCATGTTGGGGGGGTGGTTTTGGTGTTTTGGTTTTTTTGGGGGGGGTGGGGAGAACACAGTGGGGTGCAGATAATTTAAAGTGAAGCAAAAGGGGAAAACTCTCAGCTGATGTAAGGCCATGTAGGACATAGCTAGGAGACCACCTGACTGTTGGTGCTGTGGAGAAGGATAGTGGGGAAACAGTGATTAATCCTGATTTTTCTTTAAGTAAGTTATGTCATAATTCTTCCTGCTTGCTATTTTTGGGGCAAGGGGAAGTGATTCATAATCTTGTTGGGTTTTATAAACCTGCATCAATACAGGTAGACTCAAACAGAAGAGTGGAGATCGGAGATTGTTCAAGGTTTTGTCCTAATTAATTGTCTGTTTTAAAGCTAATGTTTTAATTATGGTATTTAATTAAATGTAGAACATTACTGCTTTTTGTTACACAGGAAGGCAACCTGAAAAGATATCCAACTCCATATCCTGATGAACTGAAAAATATGGTCAAAACAGTCCAGACAATTGTACATAGGCTAAAGGATGAAGAAGCTACTGAAGACATTGCCAAGGAGTCAAAACGAGAAGGCCAGACTGTTTCTGTAAAAGATGTGGGGGTAAAGGTTAGAGATAATTCTCTTCTGACTTTGTAAGAACTTCCAAAGATCTAGAGTGTCACTGATTCCTTTTAATTCTCTTTTTCCTTCCCACTAATACTTTAGTAAGAAAAATGGTCAGATTAAAAAACAGAACTTAACTCTTCACTGTCTAAAGAAGTCTGTAATAAATGTCTTGTTTTCAGTAGCAATTTTCCCTTGATACTAAGATCATGGGAATTCACTGGATTCTCAGGCAAATACAGGCTATGGCTGTGTTAAGGAGCTGGCTTCTTTAGTTTCTGGAGGTTGGCATCTTTGTCATTCTCTGATCTTCTTTTATCTGCCAGACTTCACAATGAAATTCAGGACAATGTCTGAGGATCTCACTGCTGTCCTTGTGACTGGAGGTTTTACATTATAAGTTGGGAAGGCAATCATAGCAAGTTGGCGTAGGAGTTGGGTGTCTCTAACAGGTTGATGTAGCATGATAGGTGATAAGACTACTTTTTGGTGCTGACATGTCTCATTGTAGATATTCTTGTCTTTTTTTTTATTTAACTGTAAATTTAATGGTACAAATTGGCCCCAAAAAGCAGGACAGCCAAAGTGATTGGCAAAGGGTAGGAACTGTACCTCAGTAATTGCAGAGATTTCTCAGCATTTCATACCTGGTGCATTTCATACTTTGAATTTTGAGGCTCAGATTTTATATTCCATAGTTTCCCAAAATACGTAATGTTAACTCTAACTATCATATGTTATTGAAAACCTTTCAGGATGTTCTTTCTGCTAATGTTCTTAATCCTGTAGACTTTAGAAATTGCTTCAATAAAGAACAAAACAGATGAGAGAAAGCAATATTCAGCACAGAAGCCTACTGAAGCAGAAGCTGAACACAGCAGCACAAATTCACAGATGGCTGCACTTGTTAAAACCTTGCAGAACACGAAAACAATTGTCAACCATGAAGACACGCTTGAGGTATGGCATTGCGATTGAACATCATAGCAGCCAAAGAATTGTGCTGCTGTTGTATTGAATTTGTTACTCTGGGAAATGAAAATTTATGTTGACAATAGCAGAAAACTGCCATCCATAAGTGCTGTAAATACAGATGGTTTGCAATGGAATGTTTTTCTCACTTCAGATTATATTAAGTAAAAGTTGAAATAGCTAGTAAGTTCATAATGAAAGATAATGCATTTAAAGAAAAAAAAAGCAACTCCATTAAAAGTTGATCTAAGTGTCAAACTGTGAAAAGACTCAGAATTTTACAGGTTTTGCTTGATTAGCAGTTCTTCATTAAATGATTGGTTTTAATTGTCACTGAGATGACAAAATATCTGTTTAGTGGGACCAGTCAAAAACTTGTATATTCAAGTAAATATGGATATTCATTTTAAATAAGAAGTGGAAGGTGGGATTAAAAATATGTGTTCCTCTGTGTTTATTAGTGGGCTGTCATGAATACGACTTGGATTGTATTTACCTCTTATAAAGAGTCAGACATCTTAAACTTCTAAATTCTTTGTACATTTCTCTCACAAACGCCATGTATTCGTTTATTTAGAATTTGTCAGGCTTATGACAAATTTTGGAGCTTGTCACTTGATCAGTTGCCAGTCACGACCTGTAAAAAGCTTCTTTCATAGTTTCACAAGCAGATTATTTTTGCCTGTGTTCTGTAAGCCGTGGAACATATCCATATCGTACTTTTGCTGAAGGGATTTAATGACAAACAGTTATGGCTGTTGCTGGCTATTTCCCCACTAGCATGTTCCTGCTTTTGCATGCTTTCCAGAAATACTGGTTTTGACATTTTTCTTTAGTTTAATAACTTAATTTCAGAAAATCATATTAGTTGTCTAATGATAGTGACAGCAATTCTTTGTAGCTGGCTGTATGCCAGGAAGTAAATTAGGCCATAGTGTGTAGTGGATCAGGGATGGTGAATTCCTTACTTCCATGTAATAGAAGGGCTGGTAACTGTTGCAGTTGAATCCCAATATTTAAACTTTGTATGCATGTAAGTTTTTCATTTCAACATTCATTGTATGTCATATCCAAGAGGAAAGGCAATGTGGTAGAGGTAATGAAGAGGTGGTCTGTTCCAATTGCAGAAAAAAACAGAGGTATTTTTATTTTTTATTTTTAATTAAATCTATCAGAGCTTATTTTATACATCTCAGTCAGGTTTGTTCTCCCTGCAGTCCAAAGAACTGGTCAGTAGTTAGTGTCATGGGAAAGGTAGGTTCCACACATTGTTTTGAAACTTGTAAGAAAAAGTGAACATTGACGGACTATTTTTGCAATCTGCTACATGGATTTTGTAGCATTTGTAATAGGAAACATGTTTACTAGAAAGAAGTTTCTGCTTTAGGGAATGAAGGGGTTTTTTTCCTTCAATATATTGCTGGAAAGAGTTGGTTTTTGAATATGATAGGAATATAGGGCTGACAGTAGGATACTGAATCAGTCGCATGGCTGCTCTTGCAGCAGCTTTGTCAGTTACTGTCTTTCATAAGCGTATTGAACTCCATCTGATGGTTAGGAACTAGAGATTTCTACCTTAAACGTAATCAGCATTGCTTTATTTGGTTGCCATTGTTCTTGAAGTTAAACAAAGTCTCTTCCTTTTGGAATTTCCCCTCAATGTAAATTTAAAGATACAGGCCCAAGCTACACTTGCTGTTTTTTTGCTAGACTAGGCAAGCCAAACTCTTTCAGTCTTTTCTCACAGCATAGCTCTCCATTGCTAAGATTGTCTTGGTCATGCTGCTCTATATCTGTTCCAGTTTGAGCTCTTTTCTGCAAAACCAATACCCAGCGAGTCAGTCTGGGGTGTTGGCGGGTTCAGTGGTAACTTTCTGACTTGAACTCAGCTGGAGGTTCTCTGCAATGGTGGAACAGAGGGTGCGTCTCCTTGCTTCAAGTAGGTTTTTGCAGCTGAAGTTACTGGTTTGAGTGTCATTCTTACAGCCTTCATTGGTGACAATGTAAGTCTGCATGTGCTGCTTCTTAAAGACAATTCAATGGCAAATATTACTAAATTCATTTAATTTGCACTACAAATGCACCACACAGTTGTTATATTATGCCTATGTTATGTTGCTTGTTTATTTTTTCCTCTTGTTGTTCAGTGGGTGACAGTTTACGTACTATTTACTTAACCTTTAAGCAGTTCTTTAAAATGCACAGCATAAAATTGTTTTTTCTTTAGCAGGAGTCAGAAGAACTGTCCTCTGATGAAGAGATGAAAATGGCAGAAATGCGACCACCGCTGATAGAAACATCCATAAACCAACCGAAAGTGGTGGCTCTTAGCAATAACAAAAAAGGTTAGACACCATAAAAAACAGTAGAAGTGTTGTGTGATTCTGATAATTTCTTTACTCAAAGTGACTAGTTTTTCGAATTAAATTATGTAAAAGATTTAACTTGTAGATTTTAAAAGAAAGATGATCAATTCTCTAGTAAAGCAATGAAAACAGAAGAAAAATCTGCAATATCTTATACTTGAGTGTGTGGTAGAGAAAGCTGTGTTGACATCCTAATTTTCTTGATTCTTGACATCAGTTTAAAAGCAGAGGAGGAAAGGAGATGCCTGTGTTTTGGGTGACTGTTAGCTTGAAGACACTCTTTATATGCTTGAGAAAAGGATTGCAAAAAGGGGCATTTACCTTGGAAATATTACATATTTCCTCTGTCCCCCAGATTTTCTTGATTATTGCTGCAGTAGGCAGCAATATCACTTGTTTAAATTTCTCAGAGAAACTGCACTCTCTTCCTAAGGTTTAAGAATGAACTTCTCTTGTGGCAACTCTTTCTCCAGAGTCACTTTACTCTTTTATTTTTCTTCTTTCCTCTAACAGGAAACTTTAGAACATTGTTCTAGTTACCTAAGTTTTATATTCTCCAAAATATCACTTTGGTCTGGGTAACCATTTCCTTAAGAGTAAGCAATGACATAGGATTCAGAGAAAACACCATCTAAAAGTTGGAGAGCAAATTGTATTTTGCTTCATATGATAGCCTAGACCAGTACTTTCCAGGACCAGAGGCTTTTCTGGCCATTAGATGTAAAAGGGTAAGATTTAGTGGGGGTGATGTGGTTTTACCACACAGAGGTAGCAGGAAGAGTCAGCTGAGGATCACATGCAGGTGAAAAGATTGGTGTTTATCAATGCTGTCTTCAGGTATGCCTGACCAAAGTCAAAACTTCTTTCTTGTTTCTGGAAATAGCCATTAGTTTCACAAAATATGTGCTTTTTGCTCCTGTAACTGTATCTTGAAGCAAAAATTTAAATGTATTTGTACACTCGTATCAAAATCATGGCTGTCTTGAAGTGCCAAAGAGAAATTACTTTTATATGGATATAGTGTGTAAGTATACATACATTATGCAAGAATTCAGTGTGCACGGGTGTAAATTACTCTGAAAATGTTGTCCTAAGTGATCTGCTCATCCTGGGAATGCATTGGATTCCAACTCTGTAGAAGAACAATTTTCTTTCCTGGTTTTTTACGTTTATGAAACTATACAGAGCTTATTCAGTGATCTAGGTCTCTCTAGCATGCTTGGTCTAATAAATAGCTATTTAACAATGAAATAATGTTCAAAATCAGGAACTGTGTACACGTCCAAAATCCTACGTGTGAAGCAGTGTACTTCATTTTCATAGGGGCTAGTAGACTCATGTAATTCAAAACTTTGAAATCATTGCAAAAACAGAAATATTATTTGATAGATATTTTGGGGAGATATTACATAATGTAGCACTAGCTTATGCCAAGGAAACTTGGAATAAAGTAAGTTAAATCTTATTAACAGCTGAGGGCTGTTTGCCTTGAGCCAAATATGTAAAAAAAAAAAGGAACTATTTCCAACAGTCTTTTGTAAGTTTAAATGAAATTTGCTAAGGTGATTGCTTGCATTTTAGTTTCCAGTAGTAAGAATTACTAAAGAACCAGAGCCAATTTCTATATACCGTAACATGTACACATTAAGGGGCTATTAAACAGATGTGTCTGTAACTAAATTGGTAAATTTTTATTTCAGATGATTCAAAAGATGCTGATTCCTTATCAGATGAAGCTACCCACAATAGCAATCAAAATAACAGCAACTGTTCCTCTCCATCTCGAATGTCTGATTCTGTTTCCTTAAATACTGATAGTAGTCAAGATATTTCTCTCTGTTCTCCAGTCAAAGAAACACATGCTGCTGTTTTAACCAAGATCAGGTTTGTAAGATACTGTATAACACTGGTGAGCAAATAGAATAGAAAAATGTTACTTAATCTTTAAAATTATATGTCCATTCCTGAATTCATGAATCATTCACAAAATAATTTGAATTTTAATGTTTTTTTAAAAAGGTTAAATAATGGAATAGTTATCTTTAAAAAAGAAAAAGGACAATAAAATTTAGAGGCTAATTTTAGTATACAAGACATGGTTCCCATCTGTTTTAATAGTAGGGCATAATAATTTCATCCTTACAATTTGTTATCCCTGCAGAATACTTCAATACACGATTTTAAAAGCTCTATGTTTTTGTTTGAATAATTTTGAAGATCAGTTTGATTACTAACATAACTATAAAAGGCTTTTAGAAACTTATAAAGAATGGACTTAGAGGTTGCTAATCTTTTTGAGGTTTTAATTAGTTAGTTTTTTTAAAATTGCCAACAGAAACAAGATGTTTGTCCACAAGTGTCATAGAAATTGCAAGTATTTGATTTTAAAAAATGAGCTATTGACACTTTGTACTTTTTGACACTTTAAAACTGTCTTTAGTAATAACTGTTGAATTTAAACAAACTTCTGAAGTCAGCTGACACAAACGTTGTCAAAATGAGCCCTCTATATAGTATATTTCTGTAATGGTAAGACAGCAAATCATAAATCCTGTTGTGTATTGGTCTTTGTCCTGTTTTGCGTGTACAGTATGGCTGTGTTGTCTGTTAATGATTATTCTGTGTAAAACAGTTCTTAAAGGAATACAATACATGGGTTGCTTTTGGAATTTCTTTTAAGAGCATCTCTTTTTCTAGGCAAGAAGATGAAAATTTGAATAATCTTTTGCAAAATGGAGATGAATTGAGCATTAAAGTAGAAGAAAAAATAAATGTGCAAGAGAAGGTTACAAATTTGTCTGAATATGAATTAAGCATTGAAGAAAGATTAGGCCTGATAGGAAAATGTGTTGATCTAAGCACTCCTACAGAGTCGTCTCACAAGTTAGACCAAATAAACATGAATATCAATAAACTGGTTAGTGAAGAGGCGGTGCCAGTTCCTATAGAAAGGTTACAAACACAGGAAATAATTTCAGTAAAGGGCTTTTTGAATAACAACACAAATAAAGAAAGTGAGCACTTGGAAAATGGAAATAAATATCCTATGAGTAAAGTCAATGGACATCCTGAGGAAGCAGTACAGTCTCCCAGTAAAGACAAACTAACAAAAAGCACTACAGTTGATGGCAATTCTGCTGAGCTGCCTGTTTCGAGGAGCACTGAAGATTTGTCCCCACAGAGAACTGGTCCTGTGATGAAATCTCACAGCATCACCAGTATGGATACTGGTGGTCTGAAAATCTACGATATTGTCAATGAGAATGCATCTCAACAGTCAAACTCAGTGGTAAAATCAGCGTCTGATAGTGCAGAAGGAAAAAACATAGTCCGAAGCAAATCTGCTACTCTTCTGTATGATCAGCCTTTGCAGGTTTTTCCTGGGTTGTCATCATCATCTGATTTAGCATCTTCTACAAAAACCATGTTCAAGTTCGACTCAAATCACAATCCTGAAGGTGCTGATGTAGTGAGAGGATCAGTGACAAGTGGTGCACAGATGTTCTGCGCTCCCCAGTATAATATTCAGTACAGCAGCAGTGCAACAGCGAAAGACACCTTGTGGCCCCAGAAACAAAATACCCAAGTTGAACAAGGCAGCTTGCCTCCTTCTCGTCTGCTTAGGTCTGACAGTACAGAAACCCCCACCTATGTAAAGCATTCTGCCAATATGAATTTCTCCAATCATAACAATGTCCGAGCCAGCGCTGTGTATAACACTCATCAACGGATGGCTGGGAGACATGTAGATATGTGGGCTATTCCACCAAATGACAGACTGCTCCCAGGAGCAACCAGACACACTCTGCAAAGGCAGAGCAGTGTATCTTCTACCGCTTCTATAAATGTTGGGGATACCGGACCTTCAAGGCGGACACAGGTTCCTGAAGGGGACTATTTAACATACAGAGATTTGCATTCAATGGGAAGAGCTCCACCAGTAATGTCTGCGCAACAGAGACCTCTTTCTGCCAGGACATACAGCATTGATGGTCCAAATGTACCCCGACCACAGAGTGCTCGGCCATCGGTGAATGAAATACCAGAAAGAACTATGTCAGTTAGTGACTTCAATTACTCCCGGACTAGCCCTTCAAAGAGATCCAACCCAAGGGTTAACTCTGAGCACTCTTTATTAGACCCTCCGGGAAAAAGTAAAGTCCCTCATGACTGGAGGGAACAGGTGCTGCGGCATATTGAGGCTAAAAAGCTAGAAAAGGTAAAAATAATAATTTTAAAACTATCTATCTTTCTGTTACCTGGATATGGAATAAGCTAAATACTCTGTGTTTTGAACTGCTTTTAATTACTAGTGAAAAATACTTCTGATACTGCCTTAAAAAGAATAGACATTCTTGTGATGAATATCTCAAAAGCAGTCAAATGGTAAACCGTGAATTAACTTTTCCCCCAAATTAAAAAAAAAAACTCTGTTGTTTTTATATCACACTTGCCAGCTTAGTCTAATTACTTTAGAATACATTAAATAATGTCACATTGTCCTGCTGGACTGCAAGGCCAGCTCTTCTAGAACAGGTAATTTTTATTGTAGCATTATATTTGTGTTGTAGTAAAATATACCCCTACAATTCTTGATCTTTGTGTTCTACCTTTTTCCTCCTATTTCTTCCCTGTAAGAACAAGGAAAAGAAAATCAGTAAAATCTGTTTGGAACTATAGGTCTACAGCTTCAGTTGCTGAAGAATTCAAAATACATATTTAACATGTATTTGCCTCCGAGCCCAGTTGTCTTTTGAAGTTGGGTATCTGGCGGTTTGTTGAATAAGTTATTTGTTGCTGTGAGATGAGAACACTTAAAAATCTTTTTCATTTCAGGAAATCACAGGATGTTTTGATATAACTAGAGATGATGAACAACATTCTTTATGTACTGTAAATGCTATTAAGAATTTGACCTGATAGGTAGAGCTGAAAAATTATATGTCTTTAAAGAATTTGAATAGAGATTGAAAGAGTGGAATCTATGCTGTCCAGCTAAACCAGTTTAAAATATCATCCTTAAATAAGGGGTGGAATGTCACTAGCCTGATCCTGTTATCTTGGAGGGAAAGTGAGTAAAGCCCCCAAAATACATTTTGTTGTATACAAGTTGCATAACTTCTCGTAATGGAAAGGGATGAGGGTTTGGTTTTTTTTTTAAGAAGCCTGCTTAATAGCTGCACTTGTTGTTCTGATCCAGTTTGAGTCACATACAACATAAAGTATTATTATAAAGGCTTTCACAGTACTGTGCTGTAGTGTGGGGACCTGTTGTCCCATGTCACAAACCTCACCATATTCCAGTCCTAGTGAAAGGTGTGTTCTCTGACCTTTCATTCTCCTGGATGCACATATCGAATCTTGCATGAAATAACAAAGAAGCAAAAATCCCATCAATCTCTGAATGCAGAGGGAAATAAAACTTCAGTGCACTGCTAGTGCAGGTTGTTTATAGCTCGTTCTTATATTGTCTACATTTGACATGTTAGGAACAATGTTTAATACACTAGTGATACCTGTTCAGGTACTGCAGCAGTGTAGTCACCTTTACTGAAATGAAATTGATTGGCTGGCTTGATTCCCTTTATATCTGTCCGTACTTTCTATCATGCTTTATAGGTAAACCTTAATTTTTGTTTCCTACTAGAGTGATATGGAATAACTGCTATTGAGTTTTTAGCTGTGCATCTAATTTAACAGATCTTAGAAGACTGTTTTGTATGTGCGTGTTTCTTTTGCTCTGGTCTTGGGAGCATTTCAAAGTAGCTTTTACTTAGCACTCTGAGACTTAGTTGTGGGTTTAAAAATTAATGTATATATAATTGTCTACTTTATATTCTCTGGGATATGACTGACTTAAAAAGAAAAATTTGAACTGTGAGAAATGTAGATAAGATCCTATACAGCAGCTGGCAAATACGATAAATTCTAGGAATTTACTGGATATTTAATTGTTCTTTTAAAATAATGATTTCCGTATTTCTGTTTGTAATTTAAAACTAGCTTGGCAGGGGGCTTAATCTACAAACCAGACTTCTGAAGTGTTTTGAAGTCTGAAAAAAATTCAGTAATTGCAGAACTCATTGAAGAATCAAGCATTTAAGGAACAAGTTCAACTACAGAGCTCGTTTAAGGAATATTTATTCAAAATTGCTTTGACAAAGCTTCCATGGATTTAAAATGGTGTTTCTTTTTTTAAAGCATAAGACCCAACATTGACAAAACCAGGTGTACAAAATTAAGCTTTATGATGAATGTTTAGTTCATATCTTCTTGCCTGTGGTTACACACAACAGTACGGGTTAATAGCATTAACCGTTGCTGTGATTCTTCTGAGTCTGTTATTGAATTAAGTCATGTTTATTATTTCTATGCTGTGCTTATTAGGAAAGAGAGTGTAATGGGGTTTGGGGGCTTGGTTTTGTTGTGTTTTGGGTTTTTTTCCTTTTTGCTAAACTCCTGAAGTATTTGGTTTTTGTTTTTATAAAATTTACTAATTGGAGGGAGAGACAGAGGGAGGGATGAACCCACTTAAATAAACAGTTTCTGCTTGTTGGACAGATGGAGAAGCTAGTTAGTGTTTTATTTTTTAGCCCTTTTTACCTGATATAGATAGGAAAATAAACTTTCAAGAGTTTAATTTGCATGAGGAAGAGATACAGCATAGTTTTAAGTCCAAAGAAATTATTAACAATGGATTCCAGCCAAGTAGCCAGCATTTGTAATCCTTTCACAAGCTGTAAGGGGGTGTACACTGATCAACTAAAATTATCCATCTGGTTGAAGGAAGGTGAAAACAGTTCATGAGACCATTTGTAAACAGAAATTTTGCATATATTCAGGAGAAACAATTTGCTTACCTGATGCAAAGCATATTTTATTGTCGGATAGAGAAAAGAGCTTACTTAAATGTCAAGCTGCTCTCTAGTGGTTATAAACTGTTGGAAAGCATGCAGTCAATTCTGCACCACCCCCAACCTCATAAATTTAGTGCACAAGTGAGTTTTTAAGAACAGTAATATTTTTCAGCATATTTTCCTTTTTGACTGTGACCCATGACTTGCCAATTTTACTACCTGATATGTTGCAGTAGTCTTATTGAAAGTTGTAATTTAGGAATTTAAACAGAAATAATGTCTATGTGAAAAAAAGAAAAAAAAAAAAAACAAAAACAAAGACAACAACAAAAACCTAGTGTCACACACATTTTATTGTGTGGTCATTTCCCATCCATAAATTACAATAATAAATATCTGCAACAGTTACATTTCTGTAAATGTAATAAATATCTGTTACACTTCTATGCGCTGAGTAGGCAGAGACAGTTACTGGGCCTGACCCTGTCCATTCCTTACTTTTTGTTTTTTGTGGTGGATCTCGTCGGAGTTCATCAGGTCTGTGTTTGCTTTCAATTCTAGTTTAATCTGTAATTAAGTCTTCTATTTATTCTACTTTGTCTACTATTTATCTAAAATGGCAGAGCTTTCAGAGAAGAGGTCCTTAAGTTTGACTCGTACTTTGCAATTCAGAAATCAGAATAGCTGGTTTTATTCTCAAAGCTGACAGTATACAGTGCCTTATAAAAAAGAAAAAAGCCCAAGTGTTTTCATATTGATATAGAATTGCAGTCTTAAAGTTTGAAAGCTTTTCTTGAATTCATTTTTTATGCTACATACCTAACATGCAAAAATATTTTAATTGATACAACCTCAGATTTTCTCCAAGTTAAACTTGCTTCAGTATGTCAAGGAAAGTAACTGCAAGGGGTCTGTGCACACATAAAATGAGGTGCTTAAGTGTTTATAAGATCATAGCCTGAAGAGTATTTGGACAATGTTAAATTACAGGAATGCTGTTTTTTCAGTAGTTGTCAGTTTTGTATTTTGATTTTAGGGGTTTTTTTACCATTTTGAGTGGAATACTGAACCATCAGTGTGTTACAATTATATTTTATGGAGTTCAGAAGTCAATGCATCACATTTTAAAAGGAATAAAATTCTTGTGCATTTGGAATGTAAACAACAAAAATTCTGACTGCAAACATTTTATGACAGTAGAATTTAAATTGTATGTAAATTTCCATATGTAACTCTTCAATAGGAATGCTGTCACTTATTGAAGATATTTTTTGCAGAATCAGCAACCTGAATTCATGCTTTTTTTTCCTCTCTCATGACTGAAGAATAGTTTCATAATGTTTAACTTCTTTGTATTAAACTGGTATCTTGATAGAATTCTGTCAGATTTCAAACAATGCTTTTTGGGGTTTTTTTTGTTTTTTTTTTGTTTTTTTGGTTTTTTTTGCTTGTGTGCTTTAATTCCAGAAGGCTTAAAGCAGCAAATTTTTCTAAAGAATCTTAGATAGTGAATATTTATTGTCTTGCATATAAGTAAATGTGTTAAGGCACTTTAGTTCCCAAAAGACAGCCTTTTGAAATCTGAAATTGTTAATTCTCTTGTAAGCTGCAAAATGGAGAATATATCTTGATTCTTAGCATTCAAAAAGAATGTAAGTAAACCCCAAAACCATGCTACTAGCTGCCTGCATTTAAACTGATTTGGTTAGAGGCTGATTTTGACTATAAATCCTGATTTATATGCTGATTTTTTTTTTTAACTTTGTACATAGGTATTTTTGTTGATGTATTATAGCTTTTAATTTTTGTTCTTCATGGTTGAATAGCTGATTTCTAGTAAACTTAGCTTTCACAAAAGTATAGTGGAACATGGCACGTATATTGTTTAGTATGTATCAGTTCAGAGTAACTGAAAAGACACTTCTCAAGCCTCAAGTACTTGAATTACCATTTTGCATGCTATTATGCCCTAAAACGCTGCAGCAAATCAGGTGGAGAATGGAGTTGGTACTTGGAATTAACATTCACATTTAATCTGAAGTTTAGACCTTACATTTATTCCATATTTAATTTTTAATAAATTGGAGAAAAAATCTGTGTGTTTAGCAGCATCTGCATATTCAGATTTCCAAACGTGTCTTCTCTGGTGCAACAGTTTTCAGGAATCTCACAAGGAAATGTACAATCTTCATTGTGCTCATGTTTAGAGGCAAAATTAAGAGGAATACTCTTCACCCTTTAAATGCCTCAGTTTCTCTATTTACAGCTAAAAATAGGGAGAGGAAAAATACTTCTAGATTTGTCACTAGGAATTTCTTCTTGTGTTAAACTAAAACATTCATAGAACTCCGTGTAATTTTAAATAGTATTTATTCTATACAGTCTGTACTTGTGATTTCCTTCTGATTTATTGTTGAGAGGCTGTGCCCAACGTAGAGAAGAAGTGGTGTTTGCAGTACTTCCTATATCTTCCCTATCAATTGCACAATCATTTTTTGTACTTCAGAAAAAGTCTCTACAAGGAAAGGAGATTTTATAAACTGTTGAATAAAACTCTCAGGCTATGTAATCACCTTGAAGATCACTGAACTGAGTTAACTGAAATCTTAATTCCTCATGGACAACTTCATGTCTCTACAAATTTTAGGAAAATTCTACCTCCTATTGCAGATCTGTCTTGGGTTATAAATATAAATCTGGATTTAGATTGTCACTACTTGTTAACCATCTGTTTGTGTTCTTCTAACTGAAGAGTGACTCTAGTGAATCTAGGGATCTTTATAGTAAGATGGTCTGTTATCTTTCAGAAGATAACTTTCTACTCTGACCATGCATTCTTTCTGTTTTTATCTGTCTCTTTGCCACTTACAGAAGATGGAGAGATATAGGAGCCTCTGAGAGGAGCTTCCTGTAAGCAAACTTCAGGAAGTTAGTGCCTGTACACTTGGAGAATGAAGGCCACCCCACTAATTATAGAGACAATTTTGAGAAGGGTTGTAAGAAGATGCTTTGAGGCACTAAAGAGCTAAGGAAAACTGGCTTTGGCATTTTCATCTGGGCATTTGGCCTGAAACTTGGAGGAGCAGTAAGCTCAGACTGAATGTTTAGTAAGGAGAGACTTGAATGCTGAGTACAGCCTTCCCCTCCTAAGATGGGGTAACCCTCTGGAGGCTTGTCTGGAAGCCTGAAAAATCCATTGATTAGAGAACAGGGTCAGTGTAGAAGAGGAGCACAAAGAAAGCTCACTATGCTGTTGAGTGAAAGGTTATCCAAGAGCCTTGTCCAAGAAAAGCCAAGTATTGTGGGTAAATACTGTTTTGCAAGGGAGTTTCCAATGACTGTGCTACCAGAGCGTTTGGGGAGTGTGAATATGCAGAGGCATATGACTTTGATTATTAAACTAGTTTTAGTTTCCCAAGATAAAGTTAGTATGAAAGAGGAAATGTCTGCCTGAGGACTAGTGACTGTTTTCAAAATCAGGTTAGTATATGTAGTCAACAAACATCAAAATGTATTTATTCATGTAAGGGTTGCTGCAGTATCATAGTAATTTGAACTTTTTTTTTTTTTGAAAAATTTGAAACTTCATAAAAAAACAAAACCTTTTAATTTTGCTGGGGTTTATGCTTTGTGGTATATCTTTTACTATGATCGTAGTTTTTCATGGGTCTTTGTCACTTTCTTTGCTTGTCAATTGGCACAGGGAGGATTTCCCTTTTCTTCTTTTGTGCAGTCTTTTTACTTTGTTTTGTTCTTACAACTACAAAAGTGTATGGTGGCAAGGTGGTAATGTCTACTAATGGTTTCTTTCTGTTATCCTTGCCAATATTGCAGAGGTCGGGTTTGCAAGGTAATGAAGCTCAAAGCCAAACCACTTCTGTCCTTGAGCTCCTGTTATCTGAGTACCTACAGTGGCACAGGGGTGGACTCCAAAGTGTCTTTCGAGCCTCTTTTTTCTTTAAATGAGGCGTGTTCACGTTCTTGAATAAAGTGTTATTAGAATGCATTGTGGGCATTGTAATGGCAAGAAAACCCAGTCAAACAGTCAAATCTGTCTCTGTGTAAATTTCTATTTGTACTGTACCAGTAGTAGGGGGGGGAAAACTGAGACAAAATAACAACTGGTTATTAGATGGTTTTCAACAGGTGTTTGCCAGCTTCTCTTCCTACAACATATTTGATATGTTGCAAATTTAATGAAAATTTAGAAAGTTTTATAAGCTGTGGACCTTTGTTGTTTTTCCAGACACATGAACATTTGAATGACTTTATTTACATGTAATTCTGCATGTTAACTGCTGATTGCATGCTGATTTACAGTAAATAAAGGTAAATAGGGGTCACTGAGTTGTGTTTTATACATCACGGTGGTACTGTTCTTGCATGGTTTTTATCTTGCATGACAATGGAATATGTTTGTATTAGTCTATGTATAACATGTCTTGTGGTTTATGCATGCTGCACTAATCTCTGTGTTAAATCTGTCCCCTCTTTATTCAGAGCATGCTGTCTAGGTCCTTTAATTCCAATTATGCTGCAGTTAGCAGCTTTCACTATGGCAGCTCTAGGGATCTGCATGGCAGCCAGGGTAGTGTTGCCTTGAGTGTTGCAGACGGAAGAGGTTCTGGTGTGCACATTGTTCGAGTGAGTACCTACAGGAGGCTATGCAATGTTTAGAGGGGGAAAGAATAAACTGTGAGGGGTGGTGTTCTTAAATTGATAGAGTTATCCTTTTACATATGGACAATTCCTTCAATAAAAAGAATATAATTTAAGTGCTGGAATTTTTTTATAGGCATTAAATAAAAAACTTTGGCGTCCCTTCATATGCCTTGAATTTGTTGCAGTGCTTTTCAATTCAGTGTCATGAAGTTGAGTTTTCTAATTGGCTTTTATAGATGGTTAAACATATGTAAGACTGTCTGGTTTCATTGTACATATGTACATATGTGAACAAGAGATTACCATTCTGAATTTAACCTAGGTTGATGAAGGTTTGAACAAAATACTAGTATGCTTTTTCCTCTCCCCAAAAAATTCTGATGGTGTAAACTGTACTGTAAAATACTGTAGGCATTCAAGAAAACTAATGTTTTAGTTTGTAGG